CCGGTTACCTTATCGCTATAGGCGTCGATAGACATAATGCGAGGGTCTCGAATTGCCGGATCAACTGGCGGATAGAGGGGTTTGGGAGGCAGATGACTGGTTTTTCCTGCGCAGGTGCAGAAGCACGGGATGCTGGGGAAGGGGAGCTGGTTAAGACTTGGAAGTCGGTCAGGGGTGGGGATGTGAGTGCGGACGGGGAAGGGGAGGGGGGATATAGGAGGGAGGGGAAGGCAGGAGCTGGGGGGGAGGGGGGGTCGGATATGTTGCGCCGTTTCCGGTGATGGAGGACCCGCTGGCTGGTTTGACTGAGTGGGGTGAGATGGAAGGAGTGAATCACTGGTCTCACCCTGAAGCGAGAGGAAAGGCAACTGTATGTATGATATGATAGCGGGGTCAGTAGCGATCTGGGTGGGGTGCTGAAGTTAACTAGCTAACCAGCCACGCTTCTCCGCCCCGTTGGTGGCTAACCCGGCCCGCCCTCCCCCGGGGTTGAGAGCTGGAGGAATGAGTGGGCATTTTTAGATAAAGATAAAGATCTAACAAATAGCAAAGAAATACACATCGGATATTCCATAGTCTCACGGAATCTAGGACTGGGTAGGACAGGGAAAATTCTAGCTAAATTGAATATAAAATTTGATAAAGAATACTTGACAAGGACGGGGAAACCCACAAGTTTCTCCCAAATTAAATAACTAGATGGTTCGAAGAAAGTATTAAGCGAAAAACTTTGAATATGTAAATAACTAAATGTTTTTTGATAGGATGAACTTAATTAAGAGTCCCTGGGTTGGGTTAGTCCGAATGAATTACTGAATGAAGGGAGGGGGTAGGTTTGGCTTGTGCGCCTCGATCGGGTTCGTCTGGTTGGGCAGTACACAGGTACTGTACAGTACTCAAGTAGGACAGAGATGTATCCCAAGTGCAGGTCAGTGCATATTTTACTTCCTGCTTTGCCAGGGAGCGGCGGCGTCAGCGTGGAATTGATGCCTGGCGATTATGCCAATCCCTCACCCTTTACTAAATTATCATACCGAACCCCACAGAATCCAAGCGTACGCACAAACTGCCACCAAGGAATGCCGAGGACATGGCGAATCGCCAAGCGCAAAAGCACCTCTGATTCATGCGAACCCCAGATCGTGCCAACGATAAAGACACCGGAATATCATAAGGCCCATACCCCAACAGCGGAAGATTAAGGAAATAATGGCGGGGGATTGGGCCCCGCCGTGTCCCACGGAACGATGGCAAAAATAAGTTATTCTAGAACGGTTATGAATAGGATTACGTATGATGTTAAATTTTCAAGTTTAGTGATCCCACTCGATACCAAGGTTTCACGAACGCGGAATTTAAAAAAGGCGATTTGTAATCCCTCTCCGCTCATGTCATCCTCTAAATTATCATGGAACGCTACATGCATAAGAAGTAATTTAAGAAATTGGATACCGGTATGTCTCTGCCCGCAGTGATAAAATTTATGCCCGGAGGATAGGAAATTAATTTAGGTTCTGTGGCTTGTGGAGTAAAATTGCGTAATTGGTCTGGGCTCGTACTGTACAGTAGTACAGTACAGTACAGTACACCGGTTCTGTTCCGTTTTTGGTCCCCATTTCCGCTGTGAAATGATGGTCGAGAGGAAGGAGACGGTCACTTTGTGCGGTCATATGGGGTAACGGAATGGAGCTGTGGTACCGTACTGTACTCGAGTACTGTATCCAAACAGAGCCTTATCCAGTAATGGTAATTCATTATTTCTGGGTTGCTCTGGGATCCATTTTTAGAAGCAAGTCGTGTTGCCGATACGAAATAGTTTCACCGACCACTGGTGAGGTAAATCCGCCTGCTAGCAGGATAAGTATTTGTTCCAACGGTATGATAGCTTTATGTGAAATACCTTGCTGGCGCAGTGGTTAATATGTCAAGAACCAATTAACCCTTGTGCACTTAGAGCAGGAGCCAGGAGTTCAATTCCCGCTCAGAAATATGTATTTGTTGAACGGTCTGTCACATACGAGTAGGGAATTAAAAAACTCCTGTCCTATGGGAACTGGGAACTGGGAGAATGGTGGGGGAATCGGACTCCAAACTATACCCCGAGTGAAAGGGGTAGAGGTCCCCGATCGGCGGGATTGTTCCCACCCCCCCCCCCCGATCCATATGAGAGCAGTTGTAATTCCTGAATGCTATACTCTCTAGTACAGACACGGCGGAACCCGCCCCCGGGTGCGATCATTCGGTGTAGAAGTCACAATTAGGGGGGCTTCAAGTTCTCAATACACCAACGTCCACTTGTATCTTTCAACCACAAAATAGGTTTTCAAGCTACCGACAAGGGTATACCTCCCGAGCTACAACGAGTATGATACCAGCTCGATAAAGCAGACCCCCAAAACCTCTTTCTAGGAGGAAAGCACACCGTTTACCGATCGCGGTACAAGAGCTTCAAACTTCACTATTAGTTGATATGGGTGTGAGCAGTGCACCGATAGGACACCAACGCCTCACTAACTTGGACCACTCAATAAGGAGGTTTTGTTACGACCGTCGTAACAAGAACTGTGCTTATTTTTGTGGGGAATTATGAATGTTGCGACAAGGTCAGAACACTGGCGTTTTGCTAAGCACAGTACAAAACTTGGTGTGGGTTGAAAACTTTTCTCCTAGCGTTGGTGCAAACTATACCCATTTTTGGTAAACAAAAGTGTAAGCACAACCTCTTTACGACCATCTTATTTAAGAACTGTTATTAAGACTGTGCAAAGTTGAGCCACCAAGCACTATCACACATGTGGAAAGGGTAGTGCCATTGCTGTGGTGATAAGGAAAGTTCAAGTTACGACCGTCTTAACAGAACCTCTCTAATACGGTATTCCTACTGGTGTACGATAGTACGGTACTGGTACAGTACTCGGGTGTAAAGGTATTTGGCGTCCGGTTACACAATTCTTTCTCTTCTGAAATAGCATTTCCCCTTTTACTACTGCAGCAACACCACTCAGCAGATCACATTTGTCCTCCACCATCCCCCAACCAGCTCAGGACAATATACAAAAAAAAATATGAAGCAAAAGAAAACTTGCAAGCAGAACCCAACTGATGTTTGCTACCGTGAAACTACACGTGATGAGAGCATTCAGGTTATCACATTTCGTGATACTGCAGGATAGGATTGGAGCTGAATTGGTTAGCGGCTGAATATCCATTGCCAGACTTGCCAAAGGGTCAGTAAATCTCTTTTGTTATAGTATAAGGTGAAATATATCTAACATATCTATAGATTTATAAATGGTGTAACATGTTTGCAAGGTGCTAGTCATGTTATCGGAAAATGTTATGATAATTGACAGGTGGCCTGCTCTACTAGAGAGGAGGCAAGAGCTGAGAACTAAAGGAGATTTCAAAGGTGTACTGAGAAACAAAGAAGTAACCATTCAACGAAGTATATTGAAATACTGTCTGTCGAAGTCTGCCTATTCCATCATGGAATCAGGCAGTCTTTAAATACACAAATCTTATTCATGTCTAGTATGAACGAAACTAATCGAAGGTATCAAGTGATTCTCTTTGATAAAACAAATCAAGTATCAAAACAATACTTAAAACAATACAGAAAACAAAACTAAGTATCAAACGATGCTTACAACAAACCAAGTATCAAGGCGATACTTAAAATGAAACATAAAACAAACTAAGTATCAAATAATAATTAAAACAAACCAAGTATCAAAGTGATACTTAAAACAAAACATAAAACAAAACTAAGTATCAAATGATACTTAAAACAAAACATAAAACAAACTAAGTATCAAACGATACTTAAAACAAACCAAGTCTCAAAGTGATACTTAAAACAAAATATAAAACAAAACTAATAACTAAGTACCCATACGAGTTATAAACAGGTCAAAGAAAGTGGCACACTGTCAAATTCTCACCATTCTGGCCACCGTACAATCTTCGATGAGGCAGAAAAGCAGCCATTAGAGGCCTTCATAACACATGATGCCAAAACTCCCCGGCTTAGCTAGAATGAGGTATGTCTCGAGATGGGCTATGCCTGCAGTCCACAGACAATAAAAGGTGTAATGGAGTCAATGGGCTACCATTGACGTATTGCACGAAAGAAATTCACTATTGGACCCGCCAACTGTCCCCTCTGTATCACTTGGTATTGAGAGCGTTTGAATTGGAACTATGGCAATTGGCTCCGTGTGCTGTGGACGGATGAATTGACCTTTTTGACTGCTG